GCTTCGCTAAAAGGCAATTGGTTCTTGAAAGTCACTACAAAGGACTTGATAGAAATCGAAGAGACCTCGATGTTTTTTATGATTTCATCTAAGTCGTATATTCTATTTTCTGGTCATTTTTACTTTAGACTATCTTTCATCACTAATAATGATTAAAAAAAACTTTCTTATTTATGAATAAAATTTATTGAAATCTAGTATATATATAATTCTAATTATTTTAAGATCATTCTGAAATCTTTAGATTTTTAGGATTTTTTTTAACTAAAGATTTGAAATTTCAAAATATTGATTTTTAAATTTGTAGTTATATATAAATTTCAATTTTTATTATATTTTTTTATAATATCTTATTAATAATACGTTGTATACTATAAAGGAATATAATTAATATTAATATATTATAATCCTTATTATACTTTATGATTACTTTTATGAATTATAATATATTGAGATTTTAAGGATGTTATTTCTTTATATAAGATAATTATGAGTATTATATAAGGACTTTATTTTTATATATTAATAATCTTATTAAAAATATTTCTTGAAATAAATAAAGCTTTTTAAAGAGATTTTCCTTTTCTTTTTTTAAACCCCTTTTTTAATATATGTAATTTTTTTATAAGATTATTAAGTATTGAAAATTTCAGATTATTATAAAAATCTTGAATGAATTTTTTCTATTAATTTTTTTGATATAATTATTTTAAGTATTCTAAATAAATATAATATCTCTTCTTTTTTATATCAATAATAATAACCATTTAACTTAAATAGATATTAACTTAATGATTATAGAAAAAAGTATAAAATGATTCTCTAATTCGAATGCAATAAAAATTAGAGAGTTATTTCGAAAAAAACGCTTCTTCTCTTCGTTTTTTTTTTTCATGTTTCTCTATTTATAATATATTTATGTTATGTTTAATCTAAAATATCTTTAAAAAAATAACAAAAGATTTAATAAATAAGTATTTAAAGAATTACTTTTGAATTTATAGAGATTATTAATCCCTGTCTGTATATATATAACGTAGTTTATTATCGAGTAGATTATATCATCAGTAGGTCACTTTAAAATATACTAAAATCAATCTTTTCCTAATATTTGAATTTTGATAATCAATTAATATTTTTCAAAAAAGAAAAATAATTATTAATATAAAAAAATCTTTTATAAGAACATGTAATTTTTAAATAAGAATTTCTATTGTATTCTCTAAAAAGTGAAAATTATTACGATTTTCATTATAAAAAAAACTATTTCTATAACAACTATTATATAAATTCAAAATATTTTCACAATAAATAATTAAATTTTATAGTTTCAAGTTTTAAAAAAATATATTATTCAATGAAGGAAGTATACGATTACATAAAAACTAGTTTTATAAATATTTGAAATAGCTCACTTAATAATATAATCTACTCGACGATAAACTACGTTATCTTTATAATCATTTATTTTTTAGAATTTTTTTAAAAATCTTTTTATAGATTTAAACTTAAAACTTTTTAAAAATTAAGTAAGTTTCTTTTTATAAATTTTAATGAAAAAGTTATTAAAGATTTAAAGATGATTTTAAATTTATATATAATTTATATAATATGATTTATTTTTGATGGTAAAGAGTGGCTCAAAACAGGAGTGGCCCGAAAGTAAAGTACCCGACTTAATATTCTTGATTATAATTTCTATAACTTTAATGAAATAAACTTTATAATAAATATAATATATTCTAAAATGATAGTAATTAATACTAAACAGAATAAAAAAGTAAGACAACATAATTAGGTAATGGAAAATGAGCTATAACGATTATATATAATAATGAAAAGAGTGAAATTATATCTTTATTTTTAATAAATCTCGAATAATTCGTTATTAATCAAGCTTTTTTATATTTATATTTGAGATTGTACTAATTCTAGCTAAAGGTATAAAAAGACTAGTTCATAAAAATATGTTTTTAAGTATAAAGATTCATATACTTCCAATAACAAATAAAATATTAAGTAAATATTAATATATATATATAGACTTTTTAATCATTCAAATTTTGTTGAGATTACTTGGGGGGGGGGAATCGTCAACTTAAATTACCATATATAGTACTGTATAGTTTATATAAAATGAATAATATAAAATGAAAAGATTTAGAATAAGGTATGATTTTTTTCAATATATATAGAATAAGAAGAATTATATAATTTACTTAAGTATATGATTATATATTTTAATATAGGTAGAATTTCTATTTATAATGAAAACCTGAAATATATAATATAAAAAATGAATTGTATTAACTAAATCCTTTAAAACCTAAAATTAATTTAATTAAAGATTATTTCTTCTTTTTATCTTTTTTATTTTATAATCAAGTTAAAGAAAATGAAGAAAGAATAAATCGAATTGAAAGTTGTATATAAGTGGGGAAGAGCCTTATTCGCTAGGGTAGAGTGATTGAAGAGGAAGGATATTAAATCGATTCGATTGGGTGGGGTATTCGTATTCAATTGAATTTGAAAGAACTAAGAATAGAGGGGGGGTTCAATCATTATACAAGGATGAATAAAAGTGGGCCATTCTTTTACTCCTTTATAAAACTTGAAATATAGGAGATTAAATCTTCTTGATAAGGGAATAACAATTTAAAGCTTGTAAAGCTTTAATTTAGTATATCTTTTAAGAATATAAATAAAGATGTTACGGGAGCTGCCTCTAGGGTCACGTGGAAGTGTCTAGAGATCTCTCGAGGTGGTTTAGACTAGACTTCAAGTAGGAATTCAATAAGGTTGTAACTGGTTGCAATTCTCGTAACTATAGTATGAAACTAATGATTGATCTTGAGCACGAAGCTCTACATTGTAATGAAACCCATTCCCTTATATAGATCTTCGTCCTACTTGGACAGCTGGGACAGCCGGGCGCTCCTGGAGCGCTGTCGTTCCTGAGCTGTCCATCACGGGACACTAATCCCGTGACTCTTGGTGTCCTAGCTTATTCTTTTGTCCTGGGGCTAATCCCCTGGGACATTACTAATCCTAGTGAAGCCTTCTTGCTTACTGTGTTCTGTCTTTCCTAGGACCTATTGTCCTGGGAACTATGTCCTATGTTTCTAGGGTATACTATGACTAATACTATATACGTGCCTGAGGCTCTCCTGGGTGCCTAGCGTCCCCCGGTATACTGCAGCTGAATCACCGAGGCTTATAGTACCATTATAGCCTATACGTTGGTGATTCTACAGCCTGTTACTAATCCGTTGTAACAAAAGATTAAATTCATATAGAATTTCTTAAAGCTATTTCATTAAATAATTATTTGTATTATAATAGGCTTTTCAACTTTATAACCTTTTTCCTTTACTTTTTTGATTTGAGTGGATTAGATTTATTGGAAATAATAAGCAGGCCTTTTTCTCTAACTTAATAGTTACACAAAGAAGGACGTTTTGTATCATAAGATAAAGAAGGAAGGCCTAATAAAAGGTTTCTAATAAAAGAAAGATAATGAAGCGATTCTTTTTATACAAAAAGGAGGTTTCGAATTCGAAAAGCATACTAAACTCTAAACAGAACATAATAGATGTAAATTAAACTATCGATTTATTAAATTTTATAAATATAATAATCTAGTTTATGAATCAATCAATTCATTCAATCCTAAAGAAATCAATTATAATCAGAAATCTCTTTTTAACATATATAATCAAAAAAAAAATATAAAGAATATAATATTCTAATCCTTTATACAAATTATATATAAACATAATTTAATACAATCTTATTCATCTTTTTGAAGAATATTTTATTAAATAGCCTAAACTATTCTCTTTATTTTTATACAAATACCTTCATACAAAACCTCAAAAAATTATCTAATTTATAAATATCTTCAATAAAAAGGTAAACTTTAATTAATATTGAAATTATTTAAGGGAAGGGGAATCATCAATTTAAATTATTATATACAATACTATATAGCCTATATAAAATGAATAATATAATTTAAAATAATTTAAAATAAGGTATGATTCTTTCTAATATATATATAATGGGAAGAATCATGTGATTCGCTTAAGTACGTAATCATACGTTCCGAAAAATTTACTATAAATTATTAATAAAAATACATATCGAAAAAAAATGTTGAATTAGGATAAAAATGATTTACATATTAATATAACCTATATACTAATAAATCACGTTATAAGTTTGAAAATTAGTATTTTAAGACTTTAAATTTTTATTTAAAACCCTTTAAAAATTCAAGATGAATAAACTTAAAATGATTCGAACTATATATATATATAAATTTTCAATAAATTATATTATATTTTGAAAAAGATATTAATAAACCAAAAAAGCGATTTTTAATGTGAATGAGTAGCTCAAAACAGAGGTGGTTAGAAAACGAGGGGGTTCAACCTAAAAATAAGAATAGTAGTCAAATTATAATCATTCAAGTAATAAATTAAATCAAAATCAACCAAGTTGTACCTTCAACTAGATTATCAAAAATATGTTGAAATTCAGAAATTTCCACCACTCAGACCAACCAATGATGAGTATGTCAATTCATTACTTACTGAAAAGTCGCGATATCATACCAGAACACGTGATCTCCAAACTTGGATAGGAGTTCGAATCAATATTTGTCAAACTTTGACCTGTAGTTTACAAAGCAAAACGCTGTAACATATTCAGATTTTATTTAGATGAAATCTACGTTGAGATAAGTCAAGAGATATGGTATCATTTTGGTTCCTCGTGATATTTGGATGGAAGAATGTATCCTGTCAGAAACTTCACTTTCAAGATTTTCTATTTGTCTCACATTTTTTTCGTCGTTTTAGCACTGGTTGAGTATATGCTTTGATTTTTCTTCATTAATTTCACTAGATCTTTGAACCATAATTGAATGATCAAAGTCTTAATTCTTGTCATAAAACTGTGCTTAATTATGTAGCCTGTCTCATGTGTCCGCGCACTCACAGGTAGTCCTTCTCCCCAGCACTGACGATAGAATTGGTGCCATAGTTGTCCAACAACCAGAACTTCTCAAGTCCACTCCACACACAAATCTTTCACTCTCACTCACTTCTTATCAAAGTAATCAAAAGCGTCCCTAAACTTCCATCCCACCAATGTGCCTCGCGCATTTCCCTCCGCGTTATCCAAAACCCAACATTCCATGATGTCTCCTCTCAATCTCTGTTCTCTTAATCCTAGAGAGTTAACACTGACTTTAGCCACGAATTTTACATCTTGGCTGTTGAAGGCGCGTCGCCTACCCAGACTGATGGTGTCTTCCTCAAATGGGAGAAGACGGGAAAGAGCAATGTGGAAGTGGATTGCTGCTATAAGGGAGGATTGTTAGTTTCTAGTGTCAATGATAGCAGATGGGTCGGAGAAAATAGTAAGTTGTGAATTGTGGCGTTGAGGAAGGGAGGTAGGGAGAGATACTCACTATCGATATCTGAACGGTTTGCCTTGTATATTGTCTTACTTGTTAAGTCAAAGACGATGGCATAATTTTGTTCCCAGGTGGTGGGATGCTTTCTACCTGGTAGAAATTGTCCGTTCAAGTTGTCCTGATTTTGTTTGTCCATTTTGATGAATTTTGATTTGGGTTTCGAGTTTTGGGTAGGTTTTTTGTATGTTCCGTAGATATTTCTTTTGATAAATTGTTTTTCTGATGCTTTAGATTTTTTCGTGAGAAAGATGACAGCTTATATGCTGTCTTGTATCCTAAACGATCGAATATCATCTCAACGTTACGGTTTTTTGGTGTGCTAATGCTCAGTTGACGAGTGAATCATTGCCATTTCTGCACCCAACTACTGGTTATGTAAATGAAAAGCTGTACTATAAACTGTATCAAAGATGAATCCAGCCAAGTTGCGACCGTACGAGCCTCAGGCTGACGATGAGATATAAGCATTTTTGCCCATCCGCTCTCTTACAAGAGAAACACTCAATGATCAAATCAAATTGATAAATATATACCTAGTGCTCCATCAAGAACAAAGCGATAGTCTTAGGAACAAAAAATGTCGATGAATAATGAAACCCCTCCGTCATATCAGGTCAATGAGTATGTGTGGAACCCCGAAAGATGGGATTCCGAAGATTGGGAATCAGCTCCAATATCAACCACGCGAAAATTAAGCATCTGGGAGCAAAACCATCCCATTGTATTCGATTTACCAGAACTCAGTGTGTACATCGTTGATCGTTCTGCTTTAACTTGTAAGTATACCCTACTCTGTCCTTACCTTTCCAATCATTATAAGGAGAAACATCTAACCATCCTCAGCAAACCATTACACGCATTGCACTCGCCCCTCTCCATTCAGATAACAAAGACAAGATCTACTTCGGAAATACCAAGACAAGCACAATCAAGCGCAGTCTCAAACAGGGCTTCAAGAGCGGCCTCAAAAGACGTGCTGAGCATGGATTCAAGACAGACTTCGTGACTACCTTCAAGAACCATCTTCAGGGCAACGGAAAGACCGATTCCGTTGATCATCACTACGTAACAAGCAATCCTATAGATCTTCTCAATGTACGAGAGGAAAGATTGGGGAGAGAAATCATGGAGGCATGGGTTCTGGATGGTATGAATCCCAGCCCAGTCAATCGGATCAGCAGATCAAAGTTTTGGGCTGTAAAATATATGATAAAGATGCGCACTATGAAGGGCGCGTCCTGCGAGTATAAACCTTAGCTCTCATCTCTTCATATGGATTGTAGCCCTTGATACTGATTCGCATCTGTATAGGAATCAGGTCAGCGTGGACAACTGATGCTGCATGAATCTTGATTTTCTGAAGTCTCACGGACTACGGATCTCGTGGACACCACAGCGAAACATATGGACACTAGCAAATATGACTCAATTATGTAGATTGGCTGTAAATGCTGGGTAGTTTAATTTTGAGATAGGCTCAATTGAAATTGTCCCGCTTGGGATCAATTGCCGAACTTTAATACTCTTCTGATAGAGACCAAAATTCATGATCAGATTCAACATATTGATGTGATTTTGGTTTTCATTGGGCATGGTTCTTCCCTCATGCATCTTTTCATCGCTCGGGAAAACCTCCCTAGTCGAAAGTATACTACCAAAAATTACTATGTCATTCGCCCCTAAGAAATCGATCATCTTCAACATGATCAAGACAAGAAGAGCATCGCAAAAAACGAATCGCATTAGCAATACCACCAAAAAGTTGCATTAGGAATTTTTCGAATGATCTCACTGGAAAGAACCTGTATACTTAACAGTATTGATCGAGATATTCTTGAATTTTAAGATTGAAATATCTGCGGGCGTTGGCCGCTAGAATTGATTCCAGCCATAGATAACGCCATTATTTTCTTGAAAATCACCTCATGTGCTAAGAACAACAATTTCCACATAGAATAAATAAATGTCTCCATGGGAGACGAAGTAAGAGCTGACAACGCTATAAATCCAATCGTGCATCCTTGCAAAGTATCGAGATAGGTATTTTGAGAGGTCATAAAAAGTCCCACTCATCGTTACCAGTGGTTCTTCTTTTATTCGGCCTACTAATCCTCCAATATCATTTTTGCGCCTTCCAAGCATGCCAGCCAGCTGCTACTCGTGTTCGTTTGATACTCCTCTGAACCGGATCTTGCTTAAGAGTATCATCAGGTGGTTTATTCGCGGAAGATTTTTTTATCTTCTCAATGTTTTTGAGATATTTTCTTTGGTCCTTGACTAACGTGACGTACTTCCCACCAAACTTCTGTTCAGCGCTCTCAAGCAATTGTAGAATTTCGCGATCGCGACCTCCTGCCTTACCCATAAAGTTCAACAGGCGGTCAGGGTTACCGTCAAGTTCCATCTTCTGTCGAAGGAATCGCTCTTGTCGTTCTGGATCAATATCACCATATGCGAGGTTGTCAACACGCCATCCATATACTAGGGCTGCTTTTTGAGGGGCGTAAGTGGGTGAATATTCTAGGGAATGTAGCGCTTCATAGTACAACCGATCGACTCTTTCAGCACGTTCTTTGTATGCAATCGTATTAATACCGTCGGTGTTTTGGTTGGACCTCAAGACTTTTGCTACCGATATAAATTCTGCAGGGGATTTGATGATTTCCGCATATTTGAACAAGTACTTCTCGTAGTACGATATTTTGATACCTTTCCATAGTTCTGCACGTCGGCGATAGATCTCGGCATGTGGAACTTCGAAGGATCCATCAGTGTAGGGCCCGATTTCCAATAGCTGTTCCCAGAGATCATCCGCCTTTTGAAGGCGTGCAAAACGTGCTTCATCAGTTTCATTGAGAGGGACATTGGCTGCAAGATTTGTAGCTGACATGGACAACACGAATGCAGACGTATGATTAATTTTGAGTGCAATTTCAAAGCACGCGGAGGCGGCTTCATGAGTACCACCTTCTCGATACCTCGTACCTAATATGCACAAACAACTGGCCAAGTCCTCCGGATCCGGGAGAGAATTATGAAATGAAACCTGTACTAGGGCACGCAAGTCTGGGAGTGTCTTCATCCAGTTTGCTCTTCCCCTAAATTCTTCCCAATCGGTAGCTGGTACCTCTGGCACATTCTTCTGATGAAGGGGTTCTGAGATATTCGTCAAGCGATGCTCCAGGTCGATGATCGTTGAGAAGTGCTTCGATGATCCATAGTCTCTTCTCAGTGTCGTTAGCCAGACCCGGCATTGCCTCTAGGCGCTGGTATATCTGGCTAGCTTCGCTATAATGTTCTGTTTCAAACAAACCTTTAGCCAAGTGCTTCAGAAACAGTGCATGATTTGGCTTCTCATTCAAATATCCTTGGGCAATGACTGCGGCGTCCTCAAACAATCCAGCGGAAGATAACCCATCAACACACAGAATCGCATAGTCAGGGGCATCAGATTGTTCAACTGCGGTGTCTATTGAGAGATGCGCGCCTTCGGGCAGAGAAGAGAACGAGGATGAAGACGTCAAGGGAGAAGGTTGGTCACTAGAATCATGCGAATTGATAGAGAGCCTCGAAAACATGGCAGAAAAATGCTACCAACTTAAGTGTTTATCGATATCAAGGGTCAATCTGTAGTGGGTAGAAGTGGCAAAAATGATGTACTCCCGGGACAACGTTTTGAGGTATGTGAATATGGAATCACTGCAACCGCTGAATTGTGAGTGCTTGCAGGTGACTTAATAATTCTTTGTTCTCATTCTTTTTTTTACGGCTAGGCTGATATCTTTTAGCAGCACCAGTAAAGGTACCCACAACAATCCAATTCCTAGCAAAAGCCCCGCTAAATTGTAACAAGGATTTTCGAAAATGAAATGAGAGATGTAGAAAATAAATATACAGCACAAAAGAACGATGCATACGAAGAGGGGTGGAAAGTTGCCATGAAAAAAATAAAGATTGAAGGTGCCCTCAGATAAGCTCTCAAGTTCTCATTGCGAACACTTTCCATCTTATTTAGCCCCAAGGCAAGTATAAGATAGTAGGTTGGCCTGCAAATTTGGCTTTTTGGACACGTTTGGTCATCACCGGGCAAAGAAATAAACTTCCATATACTTTCACATCGACACTATCGAAGTTTGTAAGGAATAGTCATAAGAATGATTGAAAATATGAAACTAGATTTGGTCAGCAATGATTTTAGCTATGGACATCGAGAACTAGACATTTCAATCGCCAGCATGAAATTTTTTTTTTAACAGAGCGGATGAGACAAAATTGTTCTTACCAAGCTACTCCGATTGAAAACTATTTTCCGCTTTCAGCGATGATTCTTTTGCAAATGTAGTACCACAATCAATGCCTATGGCTTTCATTACTGATCTCTCAGAAACTTGGCCAATGAATATTCGAAGTGGTAGAACATAGCGAATATCTCAAGAGGAGCTGATTGTCGTCACTGTGGCTCGATCCAAATTATAGAATCAGAGACCTGCGACCGCCATACAAGAAATCAAAGGTATTCGAAATGATAGAATTGGAAGCCTGCTAAGATTTCTGTTCATTCAATCACACATTCTGAACCTTCTGACTTCTCAGATGGTTAAGTAGTGTAAGCTCAATGATTGTTCTCGTCATTGCAGATTGTTGTTGTGATGGAAATTGATATTCCAGGCGCGCTGAAATACTTACAGCGCGTGTCGCTAAGCTAAAAACACGCTAAACAATGGCCTGCCTTACTGCTCGACCTTGTAACTTTATTTTCGGCAGCCTCGTGGGTCCAAGCTCAGGTTGATCGTTCATGAGAGTGTAAATATACTCGACCCATTTATTGAAGTACATCACAACCTCATTTTCTTCCATTAGATCCATATAATTCACGGGAGGCCCTTCAAAACCATGGTATAGTTGTTCTTTCATATCTTCATATAATGGCTGCTAACATTTCCAGGCTCGTAATGCTGAGAAATCACAATCGATGCTGTTCCGCTTCAGGGAAGCGCAGCAAGCAGAATTAGGAATTATCGATGCTGGAAGGACGCGGCGCCCGAAGATGATAACGGAAGTCTCATCTATACCATCATGCGAAAAATGGAGAGGTCAAGTTCTGAAAGAGATCTCACGCAAAGTCAGCAAGATCCAGGATCCAAGTTTGAGTGACTTCATGATTCGAGATTTGAACGATGAAATCAATAAGGCTATGAGAGAGAAATACATGTGGGAGGTACAGATCAAAAACTTGGGGGGTCCGAATTATATGCGAGGCGGAGGAAAAGTCTATGATGATGAAGGGCGGGAGATACCAGGTGGTGGGAAGGAATACAGGTATGCATGGCCATGTGGTGATGAAGTACACGCGAATTGTGCTGATGGATGATTCTGTACCAGGTATTTTGGACGTGCTAAAGAGTTACCGGGAGTCAAAGAAATGTTCGAAGCTGCAACAATAAAAACCCGCGAAGATCAACCTCTAGACTCAAGAGTAGACCTGCGAAAACAAGTCGATGCTTCATATTATGGTTACAATCTTGACGAAGAAGACGGCACTTTGTTAGATTATGAAATACAAAAGGAGAAAGAGGCTTACGAAAACTTGTTGGAAGGCAAAGATAATAAAGCACCCGATGGATGGGAGCCGTTACCCGGAGATGCAGGCGATGGCGCAGGATGGAGACTACCTACGAGCGAAGAAGTACAGGAAGAGCTTGTTGACAGACGACGAAGACGATTACTGGACAAACTGGGATAACAGAACCATGGTCGACTTATAAAGCTATCATTACATACCCAATACGAGAATTCTAACATAATTTTGCAGTCCTATTGAGCGCTCCGGCTGTGACTCGATTTGGGCAGCACTAGACTATATGTGAAGATTTATATTGTGATGGCGAGCATTTCAAAACTTGTGAGTACTGACTTTCTTAAGGCGTGCTGTGCTGGAGTGTATACTTTCCTACCAGACGTAGCGCTCTGCGGTTATCTTGCGTTTTAACAAGTGTAATTATTGCCAAGTACCTAGTAGCCAAAGTGTCTAATGCCCAATCCAGATGTCCAATCATCCATCTCAGTCTTATAACGCCAGATATATTAATACACAGAACTCGAATCCATGCGGAGATATCCTGTATCTGTATCTTTCGAGTACCCTTTCTCTCTATATACTCTTCACTTCTTCAAAGCATGTATTGTGGGATACCTTTTACCCAAATTTCGGCAATCTTTCCTCGATACCGCTCAAATGCGACTTTGAATCCAAGACTGCTCAACTTGACTTCTGCGAGGACATCTAATCCTGCTGCTGAGTTCAATGGCATCAATATCCGAACGTTGTCCTTCTGCAGAGGACTTAGAGGTCGCTTTGCAATCTTGAAACGAGTGTGATCCGCTGTAGTAAATCAGTACTAGTTTCTAAGTTGACTCAACGCTGAAAGCATACCTTGGATCGCTTCACGCTTTGTCTTCGACAATTTTTGTGAGGATACATCATAGACAATTGCATTCCTCGTCTCCCAGCTTTTGGTTCGTTTCGACTTCCTATCGATGGAATCATGTGTTGCAATAGTCGTTTCGATGAGTTCCGAACTTCTCGGCATGATGAAAGATTGATCTATGGTAGATCTCGGCGTGCAATGTGAATTGTGTATTGGATTGATATTGATTGCTAATGTTGACCGTGGAGGAAAGGGGACATCTCCACAACAATCTACGATGTTCTTGCCGAAAGCCTAGTCGAGGCTCTGCAAGGCAGATTGTAAATATACACATGATCACATACACACGATCATAAGGCGCCCATTCCTAGTTTCAGCTCTGCGTCAGGATTTCTCGGAATTCTACTATTATTGTAGCACACACTGATCCAAGTCGTTCAACTATTATACCAATCTGCCCCCAAGGCAGATCTCTTCGAGAAGCTAACAGTTTGCCTCGCAAATCATCCGCTTGTGTTGCCGTATGCAGGCCAGTGAGCGCTAGCCTACACTATGATTTCAGCCAATAGTCCTACGAAATTATTCAGGAATTCAGCCCCCATCTTACTGGCCTCATCAATTTCCCGTCAAGGTTGACTCTTATAACACCCCATGTCATTTCCTGTTTTCTTGCACACGCCACTACTGGGGGTTCATCTTCAAGAATCGATGATTGGTGAAAACTAGCTACAGTACGCAACGTGAAATGCGTATCAGATATATGTTTTCAACTAAAATTAAAGGCGCAATTCATCGGTAAGGCTGGTGGATATATTAGCATTGATCCCACCATAATATCTTCTTGTGCGCCCTTTTCTACGGTCGCAATGTAGGAGACCACGATTCGTGCCTCACTCAATGTTCAAATTCATACTTTGGGTCACAGTGGTTACAGCTTGGAAAACTTTGCCACAAACGATGACAGCCTTCACACAGTAACTTGTCGGGTTAGGAGGCATGTATGATTTACTCGGCCACTAAATTCTGCTTCGTTTTGGGGGTAATTTCCTAATCGAAGCAGAGCCTCATTTCACTTCGTGCAATTTGTTCTCAGGCTCCAACATATCAATCTGAGAGGTGCTTGAAGGTATCTCAGAGAAAAAAGTAGTAGGTCTCCCAAGACTGGTTCAATCATTTTCTTGACCATTTTTCGTGAACAAAAATGAGCCCTAACTCATTGACACCGTGGGACGCAGATGTTCCAAGACTTCAAAGACTATCAGTCAGCGATGGAAACTCGCATAGCTCCAGTCATTCGATGGCTTCAACACGTTTTAATCCGGGTGCTACTCCTACGAATCAAGCCAGCCGATCCATGAATCACAGTCCAAGTGACAGTACCGGTCGCAATGGATCAACGGATAATCCTCGGAATAGGAAATATGTTCTCACTCTAGGTATATCTTATGAGCTCCCCCGTTTAAAGCCTACAAGTAAAGCTAACCAGGTTTATAGATGGCGGAGGTGTGCGTGGTCTCTCCAGTCTGCTTATCATCCAACATCTGATGGTACTTTGTAATTCCTTTGAGCAGAGTCAAGACCAGCTGGTCAAGTCAAGTTTTCATTCACTACCATTCCAACAACGTCAAGAGTCGATTGCCGACAGCAGAAAGTCAAGAAGTATACATTTCTTGCCGGTGTATTATTTTGACTATATTGGTATAGGATATTCTTACTCTATTTATCAGCGGCTACCATCTGACAGTTCATAGCAGGCCCAAGTACTGGTGGATTGAGTGCTATTATGCTCAGTCGGCTACGAATGAACAGTGATGACTGTATCCCAGAATACGAGAATTTAGGAGAAAAAATATTTGGTCAACCACGAAAGCTTTCAATGCGTGGTCCGATACCGTGGAATCGGGAAACATATGATCATCGCAAACTTGAGGAATCTATAAAAGATGTTGTGAAAAGAAGAAACTAGAAAGAAGATCAAATTGCAGACTCTATGTATCCTTCAAACAAAGACCGCTGTCGGACGTAGGTCTCCAAACTGCCAAGTTGGGTTTGTCTTGCTAAAGTATTACAGAATCGTTTTAGCGGTCCTCCGCGAACGCTCCTTAACGTTTCCGAACACACGAACATGTTAATCAGATTTCAACTATTCTGAAGAACTCGATCCCGGTCTCCCGCTTCATATCCCTATATGGCAAGTCGCCCGAGCATCTACTGCAGCGCCGACATATCTCAAACCGTTTCAACTACTTAATGAACGCTTCGTAGATCGAGGGTATGGTCATAACAACCCCACTTCAAGAACATTTGCGGCGGTCGAACAAGTACATGGCAAAGGCACTGTCGCCCTCACACTCAGCATTGGTACTGCTCGACCTGCAAAAGTCCAACCAATAGCCAGACATAACAGTGGGCTCATAAGCCGTTATAGACAAATGATCAAATATACCGCAGCTACAACAACCGACTCTGAGCACACCTATGAATATGTAAAAACACTAACTGCGGATCAATGTACCTATGAGCGCTTCAACGTTGAGGGGGGACTTGGTGATATTGATCTTGGAGAATGGCGTGTTCATGGCAATGGGAACATAACTCTCAAAAAGATACGAGAACAAACTCATGTCTATCTCAATCAATCAGAAGTTCGAAGACGAATGGAGAAAGTAGCCAGAATGCTAGTGAGAAATCGACAAGAAAGGTCTAGAACTGAAAAATGGGACGTTGTGGCTACCGGTCATAGATTTCACTGCCTCAGTGCTGCAATGAGGAGACGATATTTACAAGGGAAGAAGATATCAAGACACATCTTTGTGAGACTTATGGATTTTCTAGTGCCCCGAGGGAATCTGCTGAGGAGCTTAGACTGAAGAAGGCGATTAGAGATGGGAGAATCTTGCATGCGGATTGAATTTTGTATTAGTTGTATTTAGACTTTCTTTCAAAGATTCCATATATTGCCTTTCTAGAAGCGATTAGATGGGATTCTTCGCTGATGTATATCAGGGGCAATATCAGGGGCAGGGATGGGTAGAAGACCGGGAATATTTGGGGGTTTTGCAAGATACCATGGATTTTTGTTTATGCAATCGCAGTGTTCTTTCGACTGTATTGCTTCTGGCCCTGCGAACGTTTATGTACAGCTTAGGAAAGTAGATTTCATGGGGAGAAGAACGTTTCCAAGTGGATGGAACATCGATCTTCTGGTTCAAGTGATTCGTGCGAAGATATTACAAGTCTTCATTCAGATTCAATTTGACGTTATCATTACACGATTCTGTTTCAATCTTTTTAAAGATCATTGCTCGGTTGGCCATGCCCATATCATGGCCATATCATTCCCAGATACCTACTTGGCTTGTCGAGTTCTAAGTATCGTTCAACATAATGGCCGATTAGCATTATTTGATAGTAAGTTCAAATTAAAGTTGATCGCATTCAAGACTATAATCTAACATATTCTCTACACTAAAAAATTTCATACACCATAATTTTCTAAATTACTGCAATGACTATATTATTACATTCGCTCAAATCCATATCGAAAGATCTCACTCAATGAAACCAGCGTTTATACCCAGGAAACTGTGTCTGTCCCTTACGAACACGCATTTCCACCTGTGTTGTTGTAGCCCAATACTTCCATCTACTAACTATCTCGAATCGTCTTCCTTTGGGATCATTCAATACCCATGCCTCCTTAATCTCTCCTCTCAATCTTTCCTTTCTGACACCAAGACGATCTATCAATGCATATGCCATGTATTGGAAATTGAGTGGGTCACTTTTGGCACGCGTCATACGGTAGTAAATATAATCTTTGACGTAAGGACGCGCGCGAGGGAGAAGAATGCGTGTGTAGTTTCCTATATGGATTAGTCACTCGCTAAATAAAAAAGGAAGTCAAGGGGGATAAGGATTTACTTTCTACCACAGAACGATCGGTGATACGCAGAGACGCATTAGCGACATCGAAAACGAGAGCATGGAGTTGCTCCCAGGTCTTTTTCTCTGGAGCCTGCTTGGTTTTCTCCACCACCTCTACTCGTCCTATTAATCCGGGTTGCGTATGAAAATTGATTTCTATGTCGCGATCTTTAAGTGCATTGAAATCTAGTCGACCGTCGACAAGCTTCGTAAATACCTCAGTGTTGATTGCAATGGATGTTGGAGCCAACTCAGATTCCCGTTCATGACTCTGCGATTCATGATCTCGACTTACTGGAAGGGAAATGTCTGCCCGATAGGGTGGGAGGCGATTATCCATGTTGATCGGGGATTGTTGTTTTATTCTTGATGGAAATGGTGTGGGTATGTTGATAGACTTGGTTTATGAACTGGTAGACAATCCTGAAGAGGATTTGTATTGTGAAAGCTATAAAGTCGTGAGTTTTGTACCATTGCTGCATTATACAACTGTAAGTATTCTGGGATCCATGTTTCAATTCAATTTTGACTGTCATATTAGAAGCCGTAGTCCGACCCGTATACATTTATAGAAAACGCTTGTAGTCACTGCAAAGCTGCCGAAGTATGTGTCATATTTTTCAAGGGAAGACGGATGGAAAACTGACAATACTGCATCTCAACCGTTCAGGATTGATGTACCGCATTGTCTACAGCCAAATCTAGTGTTTGAGAACAACAATATTGTGACGAGTGTCACTTTGTCTGTATGCAATGAGCGTGATAGCCTGGCTTGGGATTCGTAGTCGCCTATCATACGCGGAATCTGCAATGTTGACTGTAATGTGATAGAGTCACCGTTGATGAGAGTGTTATAATTCGGAAGTGCTCTTACTCTGGGCCAGCAGTCATTTTAGTGTGGATGAGATGGTCAAAAAGCTCTAAGAAGGTGGTGCTTGTTGGAGCGAGGGCGAAGGAGTGTTGTAGATGCATATATTGATTGCACAGGAGCTAGGTTGAACCATAAATTCTCAATAGAGTACTCATCTAAATACTGGGCTGTTTCACCAAATTTCCTTCCATATAATTATTGCGTCTACTCACAAGAATTCTTTATCCCTTTGGTATCCAATCCAGACTTCATTAAAAGTAACCGCCGCTCTATAGGGTAATGAATGTGACTCAAGTTATCCTACATCGCACTTCATCAAATCTCTCATAATCCCATCTCACGCAATACACATCGATGACCAAACCATCATGATAATCTTTAACTTCTTCACTCTTCCCTCCAGATTCTCAAGCTTCACTCGATCGCTATCTTTCACATACCCCAGTAAATCTCTCGAAAGTCTAGTCATGGTAGTCTTTTCCAAACCAGCTCCAACTTCACTTCCTGATGGTCTTCCTATACACCACGGCTCCAAATTATCCGGTCAATCTGGATCATCCCAGATGCCTATTGACGGATATGCAAAGAAGAGATTCGAGAGATTGGGACAGCTATGAACAGCTGCTATGCTACATTAAACTATGAGAAATTTTCTATCAAAGAAACTAGAAAGACAGAGGACCTACATATCAGAACTATCTCCTCCATTAAGCAAATCCACATCAAGTGACAAATTCTTAAATCCTTCCAAACCTCCATTTTCCGCTAAATACTGCACCATGAATCTAGCTTCGAATTTTCGATACTTTCTCGCATGAATATAAGGTATATCTATTTTTAGATTCCAATAACAACTAAATCTTTCGACAAGTTGTGTCAGTGCATATTCACGAGATGCTTTGTTGATACGCAGTATTATGGGTAATTGGCGACCGTAGGATCTAGGAAAAGTGGTATAGAGATCGAGCGACTTGGTGGTTGCATACTGACCGGTGAAGAGGATAGGAGAGTAGTCTATGCGGAGTAGGCGCGGACCGGGGAGAGTGTAGAACCAGATCTGGTGTTGGAGTTCAAGGGCGAGGTTAGGGAAGAGGGTGAATGAGGGGAGCGAATAGGAAGACATGGCGACAGCTAGATTGGGAACTTTGATAAGATCAAATGTTTCTTGAGAAGATAAGATACATGAGATGAAATGGAGTATATCTTTAGCTAATTTACAAGAATGGCGGGGACGGAATAGATCAAATTACATTGTGCTGACATGGCTGCGACCCTACAGCTGACCGACGCCAAGCCACTTGGAGGACACACATACAACTTTCATCCAATATCTACGTAGTTTTTGTGAACTTCTTATCAGATCATCAATTTGTGGAGAATGTTTTGTTGAACTATAGTGTTACCCAAATGAGAAGAATCCACAAATGCAGCTTGACATGCGTGGTTGAATATTCAAAATTGAACCTCATTTGCAATACTCGACAACAGCTTGAAAGCGCCTAGAACCTCTCGGGGGCCGCATCGAGATAGAGCTGTATCAAAAATGCGAGGTTGTATGATATGAACTTTAAAGTATCAAATAAGGTTTTTACGTGAGAAAAAGTGGGAGCAAATCAAATCGTGACAGTAGATCATGGTCCATGGACCCTGTAAGCGCGTCCCCTCAATTGGGAATTTTGGGAAGTCGCATCCAGTTTCAGCAGGCATGGGTGGTCTGATATATCGAACGCCATATAGCTAGATCAATTTTCTTATCTTATCCTGTCTTGTCTTTCCCACTGCAATTTGTACGTAGGGGCTTATGTACAAGATGGAGGTCAATCAAATCAGGAAACGTAAAGTAGTTCAAGTGTTGATCTTGGTATGATGTGAGATCTCCGACCCAGGGATGATTAAAAGGGCTGATGTATCGCTAAACAAATGTGTACCTAGAGTGCACCGGCAGTGATGACTCGGTAGCCGAGTGATCCTATCCCCTTTTAATTCGCGTTCGATAATTTCGGATTCACTGAATACCCTATTTTATGAGGAAGTGGAAATGTAGGGAGGAAGGTAAAAGGCTCAAGCATTAAATGTACGAAAACTAAACGTTGACTCTTTCTGTCCATAGGATAAATCACAAGATGTGGAGAAAAGCAGAGAGTAGAGAAAAGGAATGCGAATGGGAGGAGAGACTGAGGGGTAGGGAAGTAATAGATTGGAAATGCTCGTTTCCCGAAGCCCCCTCCGTTGACGATCGAGCCATTAAATATGCAACAAAACAATCTGTTGAGAAATTAGATCCCATGATTCATGACGAGAATGGAACAAGCGTTGGTTCCTACCTTAGGCACTGGCATATAAAGTTTGAACTGAGAACCATGGACATGGGCTAATGAGAGAACAACTTTGAAAGGAACAAAAGAGATCATATAGCGGAAAAGATGTGAAATATTCGACTACGAGTAGGAAGTTAGGAGTATAGATTGAAAGAACAATGGCCAAACTACAAATATGATATGGAGTGAACCTAACTCAAAACTAGAGAGAAATTCCAGGCTCTCTTGAATGGACATCATTGGATGGGGGTGGTGGATAACGGTACGTTGAAATCAGAGTATTGTCGAAGAGTAAGGTTGTTCATGTGATTCTGCAGAATGGGTTGACGTAGACAGTTGATTGAAGAGTCCAATGTCAGTATTGATCTTAGGTATAGATTGTTAGTAAAGAATGCAGCAATGGCTAGATGAGAAATCATGTAAAGAGTATAAAACTGTTTATTCTAAATCTCAAAAGGTATCTAAAGTCATTAATCATAACGCATGCCAAATCAAACTGCAAAGAATGCGAGGAAATCCAAGCCCCCGTCCAAAATCCTAAGGCTACCTTGCTCCTAAACACGCTAGCAATTTCGAATCGTATCGCCCATTCTAAATCCCGTCATCCGCAAAAGACATAAGCGAAGATTCCAATCCATCTACAAAATCACTATAACAAGAGTCACCGCCATAGCAGTAAACATCCCAACAGCCACCAGGCTCTGCACAAAACTGATCCAAATGCCTCGGCCATCTTGTTTCTGTGGGGCTCCCAAGACACCTTCCTTGCATGTATATGATGGGATTGTGCCATATCTAGACGACGAAATCGCGGCGCTCTTCTCGATATCGACCGTGTCGAGTGACTGCTGTGTGTGTAGTGATCAGCGAGTGATAGGTATTGGTCAATGAGGGGGAAAATTTACTATGGTATTGGAGGGCTGAGACTTCTCTGTGATAGAGTTTTCCGGAAGAGGTTTATATTCCATCTTTGCAGTTGTAACCGGAAATGGGTATGGCAAGTGAAGCATGATGAAATCGTGGTCTTGGAATAGAAAGAAGAGATCCGTGGTCGCGAAAAGACGGTAGCAAATGTGAGAATTTACTGATGTGATATGACTAGGGGGATGAGAGATGTTTGATCGAATGTAGATTTCTACTAACCCTTTCTTGAGGGAACTGCCTTCCTTTCTTCTAGTAAATCCATCTCCTAATGTCACACTAGAGTTCTTATCGGCCGACAGCAAATAAGAATAATGTGGTGTGTTGTCGATAAGCCATGAAAGTCTGCTGCGAATGGCATGTGATGTTGCTTATCTTTGCGCAAGGGTCCAGAAAATCGCACACTCGTGATTTTTCATGCAGAAAAGACCCGGTAAACACCCAGAAACAACAGAAAAATATACATAACGGGTTAGGGAAGACGAAAGTATACAGAAGCGGGCTGGTGAGATGGTGTGTAGAAGTATCAGCCGGATTGGGGGGCTAAAATCAATATGATAAGCATTGAAAAAAGTGTCATGTGAGGCCCATAAGAGAGCAAATGATGCTGTGCTTGTGAACTCCACAGGGAATTGTATTTACACGGCAATGAACCGAAATCTGCTCCAAGGCAAGACATACAGATTGAGTAGGTTGCATGTGCTGCCACCAAACAGATGAATAAGATGACAAAGGTCATCGCAAAATATGAAACATGTATCTCACATCGAATTACTTGGACGCGAGGACCAAAGGCAGTATCCGGCCACCTCGCGTGCGACCTAGATACAAGGAGATAGTAGTCGATGCGCACGAATGGAAATCCCAAGGATGGCTGCTATTTCACCATGTATGCACACCTCAATAGCACTGACCAAGAGGATTCCAAAGATCTGATATGACTGCTTAGAAACCTTAAACCTTTGATGTCTTTCCTGTCGGACCGTAGACTTGCAGACTGTATTACACGGTATGCATGCAAACTCATGTTGAAATCAAAGAATACATTCCGGTGATGTTTCCAACATGCCAGTGTGAACATTCAGCATATGTTCAGCCAGATCTCGAAGAGGTTCTGCTAATAGCTCGGGAAGCTCCTACAATTTGCACATTCGGATTTCTCATCCGCGCCCCAATCCCTATCTCTCTTTCGGACCTATTCCCTCAGGTCTTTCGAAATGGCTATCGTTCCTCGGACCATGCAAACGAACAGATAACTATGAGATTTGTAGGATTTGCCTAGATACTCTGCGCATTCATTGAGCAGTATTTAAATGGTCCAGCAGGAATAACACGGAGCCTTCGCTTCTAACCACCATTTGTGAAACTTGCAGTGCATATTGAAAGATATCGTCAGCGATGTTCGAGCGCATCGCAGGGGAAGGGTTTCTCGTTTTATCCTGTCGCATGTAGATGATACGTGGTATCGACTTCGCAGTTGATCGTGTAAAGCATATCAAGGGGTCCTGGTGGCTGTAAGAACCAGCCTTTGTTATATCTCGACTGTTGTGTAGTAATTGAAACGACATCGAAAATTTCTCATTCCAGCCGAGGATATCCACACGCACAAACTCCCTCTGCAACAATTTTCACAGCCCGATTAAAGGATCATTGTATGATAAAGCAGAGGTAAAAGTTGAAGAGCTTTCTTCAGATTGTTGAAGGTTGTACTCACTGCACTGAAGGAATGATAATAATGAAGCTCGGCAGAGGGCAGAGCATGCTTACCAGATATCACAAGCTAGTTCACCGCCTACCAAATCCATTCCACACAATTTGAAAGATCTGATTCGTTTTCTATAAATCGTAAAATCGTATAAACCCGTATAAAATCGTATAAAATCGTTTACCGTACTCGTATTCAAATACAGAATTCGTACGAGGCTATGGATACCACAACCCTAACCCACCGATGAACTTGAATTATCATTCCTTGCCAAGGTTAGCTTAATTAGTATGAAATTTGTAAATGAATGCAAATGAACTCAATTTAAACTTGTTTATTCACGCTGATAAATAAACCACCGTTTCCTACTTGCGTACGAAGCCTTCTTTCTTCGAGTTCCAAACAAGCTTTTCATATTACCTCTCAGCTTCCTGTGCAGTGATAGGTCTGTTCGTAATGTAGGTCACGAAGAGCCATAGTAGCATAGCCGTTGCTGCAAAGATGGCTGAGCCTCCCGAGGTCGTCACCAATGATGCAATCCATTGCAAAGCCACAATTTATACTTATTATACAATCCGCCTGTAAATCACGAGTCACCACTCAATATCTACTAGGCAGTTATTCTCACCAGAGAATATATATAAGAACATTCTCTTGTGCTCGCCGTCTTGATAAATCTTGTTCATCCACATACGCAGTCATAATCGGAATTGCACTTCGATTTTACCCCTCAAATAGCCCCACCTTATACCGCCCTTCAACACCCCTCACCACCTCTTACCACCCGACATCCTGCTTACAAAGTACCTTGATAACAATAGTAACACAACTTTCCAACGACAATAACAAAGAAATAGGCGTATACCGAAATCAAATCATGACTGATCCATCAAATTATACAGCTAAACCATCAGCTTGGTCTAAGACCAAGCTTGGCGGCAAAGCGGCTTTTGACAAAGGATGGGCTGCGTTTGAGAAGTTGGGAGGACCAGTTAACAAGCTCACGAATAAGATTGGATCCGAGGCCTTCTGGCCAACAGGCATGGATAAAGAATGTGAGAAGGCTGCTCGAATCCTTAAATCATTCTGTAGTAAGTCCGCTTGATACACAGCTGACAGCAAACTGTCCCCTAACAATTTGACAGAGGATGGATTCATGGCGGAGCAACAGAAAGATGCATCACAAGACTCGGCGACTAAGAAGAAAGTCCAAGATGGACCCAGTAAGCCACCAAAAGTTCTTGTTAAGATACCTCAAAAGGTCATCAAGAATTGTGTCGGTCTCGCGATTTACACTACCATGCGCTCTGGATTGTGGGTATCCGGTGCGGGTGGATCGGGCGTTTTGATTGCCAAGAATGAGAATGGACAATGGTCACCACCTTCTGGAATTCTCGTTCACACTCTAGGTGTGGGATTCATGGCCGGAATTGATATCTATGACTGTGTCATTGTTATCAACGACCGCAAGGCTCTCGAAGCATTCAGTAAATTACGTGTCTCTCTCGGTGGCGAAATATCCGTCGTGGCTGGCCCTGTTGGAAGTGGTGCCATTTTAGAAAGTGAGCTATTGAAAAGTAGGAAGCCGTTGTTCTCCTACATGAAGAGCAGAGGGCTATATGCAGGAGCACAGGTTGATGGAACCATTATCATCGAGCGCAACGATGAAAATGCAAGATACTATGGGAAAAAGTTGCCGGTAGCACGGATTTTACAAGGAAATGTTCCATCCCTTCCGCCAACCGCTGAGTTATTGATGGAGGTTGTAAAGGATGCAGAAGGAAGACCAAACTTAAACCAGTCAGTCTTGCAGCAAGTTTACGATAAGCCAGCACCGGCGGATGTCGAGATTGTAAATTCAGGAGAGGCTAGTGAGGACGAGAAGAAAAAGTTCGGAAACCCGAACACGGCCGAAGGGTATGCTATGCAGCAACAACTACACGGACATCAACAGCAGCAGTACTCAGGATACACGCAGGGTAATGATTCTTACTATCCCCCACCTCCTCTAGGACCACCACCTCAACAAGATCAAGCTCAAAACCCTCCGGCTTACTCTCAAAACCCGTCAGACTTTCCACAGCAGCAAGAAAGTGGTGTAACCGAACACGGCTATTATGCACCCGAGAAACCACCTCGTCCAACCTGAAGAGCTAGATGCTTGGATGAAGGTAAATTAATATTTCTAAGATAGTTTTTCTTTAATGCAAGACCTGATCATAAGTTGATCCGGAATTATTCCTCGACACATTGAGGATCCATGTTTTTTAGTAAGATATTTGTGAGATTCTGTTGTAGTACACGATTATAGTTGCACTTTGAAATACAGACATCCAACCAATTTCGTAATAAATCAACCTCAAGTTGTACACGACTATCCAGAGCATGTGTGTAAACGCCCAATCGTCATTGTGTGACACATCCGGTCTACAAAAAACAAGTCACGAACTGCGAAGCGCGTCGTGTTGGATTGTATTTTGTATTATGGGCGGCTGAAAATGAAAATGGTCGTTGCAAATGGTAATGTCTTTACATCGTGGAGCTGAGAAGTCAATTTTCCACATGTCTGTATTTCTATATATAAAATTGAATAGAAATCTCAAAGCTAGAGAACTGCAGCTAGCTTGTAGTCCAATTTGGAAGCCCAAATTATGATATCTAGGTATATCCAATGATATTTAGGCTGGTAGACGGGTTCGAGACCAACTTCCGGCACTCATCTGATTTATTATATAGCTTCAGAGGCAGTATATACTGTAGTCTTGTGAGTGGCAGCTCCTTCATCAAAATAACGACATCTGAGGACCAAGAATTATTAGTAACGTGTTTTATCAGTGAGTAGGTCATATCAGTAAATGGGTTACTTTCATCTTAATTCATTCTTTTCTTTTTCAATATGTGTTTTATTAACAATCTATAATAAATTCGAATACTCAAGAAGTCTGTATATTTCTTACTATTGAAACTATTCAAAAAGATAAAAAAATAAGTATTCGAAAAGCTGCGAAGATGTATAATGTTCTGAATACAATATTGTAATATAGAATCAATAGTTTTATTTCTTATTCCAAATATCGATCTAAATCTAATAATCTTTCAGAATTAAAGGAAAATATTATTTCTGAATATATAATTAATATGGATATAAGAGAATTTCTATCTAAATTAAGAAATGTAAAAGATATAGCGAATTATATTCTCGAATCGAAAGGTATAAATGTTACGGGAGCTGCCTCTAGGGTCACGTGGAAGTGTCTAGAGTTCTCTCGAGGTGGTTTAGACTAAACTTCAAGTAGGAATTCAATAAGGTTGGTAACTGGTTGCAATTCTCGTAACTATAGTAATGAAACTAATGATTGTTCTTGAGCACGAAGCTCTACATTGTAATGAAATCCCATTCCCTTATATAGACCTTCGTATTGTACTGGAGCGTTCAGGACCTAGAGAGGTCCTGGACCTTTGGTCTGTATGGACCTACATTCCGTTATGCCTGTCATGCAGGGTCCATCACGTGCTAAGAGTCATGTGACGCGGTACCGAGGATGGACCGGCGTAACAATAAAGTATATTGGAAAGCTTTGAGTATATCGATTTGTAAAATGTTGAATCGAATTAAAGACATATTTTAGTTATATTTATAACTTTCAAAAAGCTTTTTGCGAAGATTCTAAGCTTATTGAAGAATGGTTTCGATTAATTGTGAATATATAAGTGAAATACAGTATTTTGAATAGCGATTTCTATAATTTCGATGAAACGGGCTTTATAATGAGTATAATATGCTCTAGAATGATAGTAATTAGTATTAAACGAAATAATAGAAGCAAGGCAATATAACCAGGTAATAGAGAATAGGCTACAATAATCATATATAGTAATAAGGAGGATGAAACTATACTCTCATTTCTAATAATTCAAGGACAGATTTATCTTTCCAATTGGTATATCGAAACCGATTTTCCTACGGATTAGACTATTAAACCTATATCTAATAAATGGATAAATAATAAGATAGATTTAAAATAATTGAAACACTTCAATAAGTATATTTAAAATCAAAGAAAGGGCAAGTATCGAATGTTAATACTAAACAGGTATAAAAGTTATGAATTAAGAACTTTTCAAGTATATTATAAAGAGAATAATATTATATACTTAAGTCTATTATTGTATTCAAGTTATTTAACTTAATCATTTGATGTAAGCTATTTTAATAATCTGAAACGTTTATATGGTAATCAAATTAATGGATTTATTAAGGTATATATTAATTATATTTCGAAGATTAAATTCTTTATAGCTTTTAAAGCTGTATATAAAAAATAAATCACTTCTCAGAATATGAAATCAGGTTTTCAAAGAACAGGTTTAATTCTATTTAATTCTACAGCTATATTTTTGAAATTAGATATTTGAATTTGTATATCTATCCTTTTCTTTTTCAATCTAAATCAATAAATCTCTTAAACCCTTTATAATCCAATTAAAGCTTTTTCTTAATTAATATTAGTTAAATCTCGAATAACTTGTTATTATTCAAGCTCCTTTACATTTATATTTAAGATTGTATTAACTTTAACTAAAAGTATAAAGAGATTAGCTCATAAGAATACACTTTTAAATATAAAGATCCGTATACTTTAGATAATAAATAAAGTATTAAATAAATATCGATATATGAAAAAAATCTAATTACATTAAGGAGGAGTGTTTATTGAATAAAAGACTTTTAATATATTATTTTAGTAAGAGGTTGATATTTAGATTCAATATGATAAGCGTTAAAAAGAAAGGAATTCTAATAGGGAAGTATCTTTTAGTTGATGTTGTAGTAAATATGGAAAGATAGATTATAATACAAGAACCTATTAAAATGATATAATAGATCCTAAATTATTAGAATCTTTATAGTTTCAATTAATTGATTTTGTTATTGTTGAATAATATGGTTTTAAATAAGTGAATTGAGGTGAAAGTGACCCATTCACTGATATGACCCACTCACTGATAAAACATGTTAAGTCATCTGGATATCCATACTTGTACAAGGTTATGTACAAGCAAGAGAACATGCTCAGTGGGGGGTCGGAAAAATGTTCAACCGAAGACCTGCACAGGCATTGTGGCTGGGCTTTTTATGTCATGGTGGTTCTTCCTACCATGCTTCAAGATAGTTCTCTCAATTGAAGTATCTTGTACTGTCAAACTTCTTATATTGTACAACAACAATCTACCTAAGCCTCCCCATTTTGGGTGACGTTCATGCTTAATGCTCTGATTGGAAACATATCTCCAAGAGCATTCCATGAAGCTTTACCCGAATAGACTTCCCGGAGGTCGTGCAAATGCTGACTGCATTTCAAACGACATGCGTATTTTTAACATGTTCAAGTAGCTTAGAATGCCGACGCGGAGCCCATGTCCGACTAGCATATATATATCCTCAATTAATTTGTTTTATACTCGTTTCATTGGCCTCCAATCAACTGGCGAAAGCATTCACTTATGATATATCACAATCTAACACCTAAATGCTACATAGGCGCATTCGGGAGGTGTCACCGCACCAATTCATGCCAATCAAGTAACCAACCTTCAGTTTTACTCCATGTTATATTCGCAACAATATTCGCAACGACGGCCACGTCTCGGTTTACTACTGTTGCATCACACGGGTCGAAACACTTTTCGCCAAAATTCCTTCAACTAACAAACTTTAGTCATATAAGGATCTTTGTTTGATGCCTCTTGAAATCCTTTGACTTTCTTTTCATATTTCCTCTTGGCAAACTTCTATGGTCCAGACGATTAGAGAACGTTCACGACTCGACATCAGTGGCCGAGGCCATGAAAAATACTGGTTTCCAGACGTTGAAACACAACAAGATCGGTTCTTGGGTATTATGAAATTTCTGAAGTTCACCTCATCATGCTTAAAAAGGAATTTGAAAAGCTCAAGGCATATCACAGGGCAGTATCATAGTTTTCGAGGTTGTGTTGCGGCCAGAAACGTTTTATTCATGCTAAAACATTAAAAAGCAAAACATTTTTCATCCCCTTCCAACCTAACGACAAGGCATAACTCTCTCCGGTCCTTTTAACTACAATCTAATTCCATGCGATCCCATGCCAACCGAGTTATAGCTAACATCTAGCCATACTCAAATTACAAATTGCCCTTCATTCTGATCATGTGTCTGAAAGCTGTCGCACTGCAATGTCAATCTGGAGAAAGGTTAGTAACATTGCAACTCGCCTAGAAGTGATGCGATGTGTATACCTCATTATTCAACAGCCGGTACCACAAGCGCCGCAGGCTCTTCCTGGAATAACCCATACTTCTTGACCTTTGGCAAGACAGGTTGGACACCTTACGCCAGGCATCTGGTCTATGTCAGTATATATCAATTACAGTGGCGTCAGATGCAATCTCTCACGCCGGGAATTTGAGTTATGCCAAAAGATCCTGAGAACTCATCAAAGGACATCGGCATCGATTCGATGGAAGGCAGGATGTTCATCTCTCCTCGGACAATCATCTCGAACGGGATTGGTTGGTAAGGCATTTTGATTGAAGTTGGTCGAAAGTATTCTTTAGATTGATTGATGATCGATTGATGTAAGGCAGATATATAAGTTAAAGAACAAACTTGTTTGGATTGATGGGCTTCTTTGAATTGATGAGGTCCAACTTCACTTTGGTGGAAGTGGTCAATATATAATGTTTGAGAGCGGACTTAAGAGCTGTTCCGAAACTTGGTATGCTGTTCATCGACCCTATGGCAAAAGAAAAGATGGCCTTATCTCATGATATTGCGGTTGCCTGCATCCTCAAACGTCGATGGTCGATATGCTTGGATATCTGCGTCTGCAGGTGTTCAAAAGGGTAGCTACACTTTTGTTGAACAGGACATCCTAAACTAGGAACGATCGTGTTCTATATAGGCACAACTTTACGATAGACACGCAACACGGCATGATGAAACTTTTTGAGCCATAGTTGCCATCAACGGTGCCTATCAATCATGCGTTGATTTTCCACCTCCGATCTGAATGCAGCAAATCGTCGGTCGGTGATCAGGATACATTGGATCTTGCTTGGCTAGAAACAAGAAAATCCTTGTGCCAGGCTTTCGATTTGACCTGGCTACCACTCAGCGAATGGTACAAAGAATGTACCTGGAAGGTTATCCGAATCAATTCTCTCCAGGTTTCTAACTTTGTAAGCTCCATAACAACCAGGGATCAATGCTTCTCAGTTTCAATCCAATGATCCTAGACGCTCTGCAGGTATCCGTGCAGAATAAGAAATTCGTATGGTTCGTGTGAGCGACAGACCCTTCATGCAGCCTGCAAGTGGACGCCAAATCATCTGACTCTTGTACTTCGGAATTTTCTGACGACTGCACACAGTCCGAACCTAGGGATCATTGCACGGATGCAGATCAACGCATTCATATCCGTAATCTGTCGTCGTACTCGAAACCCCATCATGGATTGTTTGAACAGTTCTGACACCTCAATTTATTGTGCTCTACAGCTTGTCGTTGGAAGATTAGGAAGTCATTCTAAATTGCTTGGAATATGCTGAGGGTCAGAGCATGGGGGGGGGGGTCTTCGTGATATATCATTTATGACGGAACAAATTACTATTATCCGACTCATCACTTTTTACAGTGTGTATTAGATGACGCCGGTCAGGAACACTGCTAGCATTCAGCACGGCATTCGGAGGTCTCTTGTGTGTGTGGCTTGGTTTACCAAGTGGTCGGAATCTTCTAGGTTTGAAACACTCGGTCGGCATTGATCTAAACTCAAGAAAATTCGGGGACAGTTATACGGGATTGTATTGTTTGTAACAAGAGATATCAATTTTTGGAATCGACCAAGTCAACGGCTTCATCCACCAACATTCCGCACTCAATGAATAATAATGGAAAGTCAATGACTCCAAAAATAACAAAATTCTCCGATCCTCAGGATTATTTGAGATACCTACTTTGGTACCGAGAAATGGGGAAAGGCACGTAGCGCGATGTGAATCTGTGTACTACATCATACAACATACGGAGTTGTTGAACTGCATCCGGAGTCATCCTTTCTTCCTTGAACCTACGAAGATAGTTCTCGCCAGTTGACAACTGCCATGCACTCATATGCAAATTTGAATACAACCCTACGGAAGTTTCATCGAGAAAAGAAAGTGATTCGATACGTTGTGGCCGTTATTGTTTGTATCACAATTCACAGACATTAGTGTGCTGTGTACTATTGGACGACCTAAGCCAACACATCAATTACATGGAACACATCAGGCACATCATATCATATTACAGCAAGGAGAAAGCTCCTCCGATGCCAAGTTTTGCATCTGGATTCATATTTTTCATGTCGCTATCCTTATCATCATTATGAGCATTTATGATTATTTTCTAATTTTTCCATCTCACAACATAATGTCATCGATTCTTTTCATTTGTTTTGTGGCTTCATATTGCAATATTAATCTCGTAATGCAACGTACTATCTGTCAAATACACAAAATGCAATTTAAAATTTGGCAGAAATGGCCCCCAAATTGATTTCAGGCCTACGTGCCTAAAGTTCCAAAGAATTGTCCAGTTTCGATGCAACCGGATCGTATGATAATCGAATCGGAATAATACGCATGCGCTGTGCTACTGTCCTAGCTCCATGTTCAAGGAGACATTTAAAAATAATTTCCCCTTTCTAAGATTCGGAAGGTGCAGGTGCTGTTAGCTCGATGATGATTTGCATCCGAAGTGGCGGTGGACGAACCATTTGGTTGGGTTTGTGATTGGATTCTAGATCGTGTAACGGATTGAAGAGGATGAAACGAATCTATACGCACAATCCGAACGATCAACAAATTGGCATCATGTCATGATGGAATCGAATGAGGACAATGCCAATTATTTTCCTCCACATGGCATGACAATGTGAATTTGAGGAGTTGGCATAGCAAAACTTGTTTGTTTTGTTTCGCTGAAGAACCAAGATCCTTTCACTCTACCAACATTTTCACACATCGTCTCGTTTGAACGATTTACACGCATTACTTATCACTGATACAAACCGTACATACGGCTCCTACTTCCCGAACGCCAACAAGCCAATATGAAAATTCTCCGAATTTTCTTCAAGCGCCTCGGAAGTCGTTTCGTGTCGTGTCGTACTGCGCACACAACCCTTCACCCCCACTCTTATTCCTCGTGCCACTAGAAATAAATGACACGCACATAGGGATTTTACGCATACGTGTGTGTACCTACTACCTTTTTGAGAAAGGTGAATTCATGGAAGTAGCAAAACGCATTCATTCATATTAATCATTCATCGAAAAATATGCAAAATGTCGACAATTTATACGCTCGGAAAATGCAGTCATGCAAATGGATATGGATATGTGAGCATAAATCGCATATCCTACTCACATCTGCATGGTGGCTCGGATGGCGACAGCTGCGAAGTATATTATTATCACTCGATTGCTCATTCGTTGCAGTGGGTAGTTCTCACTTGAGCCCTTGATGTCCATTTGAATCTGAGATTAGGTTTAGGTCTTGTTGTTCATTACCTCGTTCGGAAGTAATGTGATGTGATTTGGTGTAATATATTGTAGTACGGTGCATGCTCTCTGTCTCGATTCTCTGTATCAAGTGAATCAACGACTGTAGTTTAGCATCGCGTTCGCTTTTGAAAGTCTTTGAATTATGATTCTTTCACTTGGTAATCTAAGTGATGGATGAATGGATGGATGAATGGATGGATGGATGGATGGATGGATGGATGGATGGATGGATGGATGGATGGATGGATGGATGGATGGATGGATGGATGGATGAATGAATGAATGAATGAATGGGTAGGTGAGGCAAGGGGAGATGAGGTGAAGTGAGATGTATATCCACTACAACTCACGAGATTATTTTGCTTTCTTTGTCCTTATTTCCTTGGGGTGAATCACCTACTTGCGGTATTTTCACTGCGTGGGATGATAAGTATGGTAATCGGTGAGCGATTGTCACTACCATATCAAGCTTGAGTAATAGGATATACAATACAAAATACAAGAATTAGAGGGAAAACCACCAAGGAACTATTCGATTTGATTTGGGAATTCTTTGCCCCGCTCCCTCTCTCATCATCTCTATATCCTTTTGCTTTGGCTCTCGTCTTTGCTTTTCCACCCACAATATTCAATACATTGAATCACTATTATCCCCATTCTCACTCCCACCACTGTAGATCATAACTATCGATTGTGTAGATAACCAAAAAAAATTAATAATTATCTTTAACTCATGTACACTCCCTATCTATTCTGTTGCTCTGTCTCATCTATTAGTTTATTCAATAGGATATTCTAATTATTTCATTTTATTTATCTAATTATCTTTCTATCTTTCTATCTTTCTATCTTTCTATCTTTCTATCTTTCTATTAATTAATTATTCTATTAATCTATTTCTTTATTGATCTGTTAATCTATTAATATGATTCATACGTAAGTATATTATATCATCGAATGAACTACCTGAAAATATATTAAAATTAGCTATTTTTAAATATTCTTATTTTAATAATTAATCATTGTTTTTGAAAAGTAAAGAAATATAAAATGTTAATTAAAATTTGACTTCTTAGAATTTAATTTTTATATTACTATTTTAATTATACTTGAGAAAAAGTTGAAAATTTTACGATTTTCGTTATAAAGAAACTATTTTTAAACTAACTTTTATATTAACTTGAATTTTCGAAACACAATTAGATTTTTGTAATATTTTTATAATTAAATTTTATATATAAAATAAAGTAGTCTACTTAGTAATATAATTCACTCGTATATGAATTACTTTATTCTATTTATCTGTTTATTTATTAATCTATTTGTTAATTAATCTATTTAATCTATTTGTTTATTTATTTATCTATTTATTTATTTATTTGTTTATTCATATTTTTGTTTATTTATTCATTTATCTATCTGTTCATTTGTTCACATCCTCATGTATTCAAAACCTTATACATATACTTACAATTCACTATCTTATATTAGTACACGTAGAAAAATCCAAATGAAAGGAAAATCAATATTCCCCCCCACTCAATCACCGAAACAAATATACCTAGTACAAAATACCTGGTACAAAACACAAAACCAAGTATCAAGATTCAAAAAATTCAATAAACTAATATGGGGTATCCTTTCTCTATCTTTCATCTTCCTTCCACTCAAATCCGGCCCATAAAATTCCATTCCATTCATCCTTCCTATGTCTTCTTTCCTCGATCAATCCGATCCAATCCATCAACCAGTATATCTCCCTTTCCTTCTTCAAAACTTCGTTACGTTACATTCTCCTTCGCTTGTCCCAGATATTGTCAACACACCCACTCACTCACTTACTTACATAATTATGCAATGCAATGCAATGTGATGCAATGCTATGGCATAATACATCCATCCATCCCGCGTATATATTTTTCCTACCCTCCACTGTCGTGATCAGACCCCTGGTCATACAGCAGGGCGAGATGACAACAAAAAAAGGCTATCTACTCATACATACATACATACAACACAGCGCTCAGCTCATCTATCATACATTAATATTATCACCCAATCTCCAATTGAAGTCGATTTAGGCCCACTCATCCTCTGACCCTCACGTTCCATCATGAAAGAACCTTTTCAATCTTAACCAACAAAAGTCCTTCCGTTGAATTGCCCTTGATATCTTTCAGTGGAATCAGTCGATAACCCTGTTGGAGACGATCTAATCTTATGCACGCCCAGGCTGCTAGTTCATCTTTGGAGTAATTTGCATCTTCAATTTTAAATCTATGTGATGAAAAATGTTAGTACGACGATGAAGACGGCGTAATATGTATGGTTAAGAGATATGGAATCCAGGAAGTTTGGGGGAATATATGGGAGATTGAATGGGGATTGGATGAATGTAAATGAAGAAGAATAGAAGTAAGAAAGAGTAAGAGGAAAGAAATGAATAACTAGGGTGACATTGCATAGACACACATCATACATGAGGTAGACGAGTGCAGTAAATATTGGAATGATGTTCCAGAGATGAAGAAAATGAGTGATGTAATAGTGATAGTGATGAAAATATGCATCTCATCTCGATGCAAAACTTCAGCGAAAGGAAGAAAATCGAACCATAAATTGATTCCAGATTATGAGTGTGGTAGTTGAGAAAGCGCCATGTGTAACATTGAATTGGGGAACGGGATAGGCTGACAATCATACTACTGATTGGACAAGGAAGTATACAGCGGAACCCCACCCGAGCAGCCAAGCATCGGAAGAATCTACTACACTCGTAAATTAATCTGCATTGATACTGACCATCCGGCTCCGGACCGTTGCGTTGTTGAAGATTGAGGAGATTTAATACCCCCGATTTGAGCTTTGGATTATGTACCAGGCACTTGGGTGAAAGCTTTGGGGACTCTGAGCGGTGTGACACAATAACAGGTTTATGATTCATCAAGAATGATAATCAGATCATAGGAGTGTAGACCTTGTCTACTTCCCTGCATATGTAACTTGTGGAAGTATAAATAGACAAATGTTGAAGAAAATTAGTGTGACATGTACTAACCTGACAAAGCTTAACTCCTCCACCACGTTCCTAATACCTTCAAAATGAAGGGTTTCGCCTTCGAAATCGGGTTTACTGCCCGATTTATAGGCAGTCTTGAGCTTGTGTTCTCCCTCTTTTGCTTTGACATCATTTCCGATTGGTTGCCCGTTGAGCTCTTCTTGACTTTCAACATGCAGCTCGCATTTGACGTACGGATGGAAGCCCTTCTCCGTCTCACCCTCAGGAAAAGGAATTTGTTGGCCTGCAAATATGGAGATTTTCAAATCCAGGGTCTTATAGGGTATATTTGCCCATATATCGGACTTGACATCCTCACTGCGATAACCCGGAGGCTTCAATATCCATCCCTGGGACCCGGCAAACATTCCTTCATTCAACATCATACCTTCATCTAATGTCTGCCAATTCAAAGCAACCATTTGAATGCCCTTACGCCAACAGACGGAAGGGTCAAGATTGGATGAGTCAAATCGTGAGCCAGCTGGGAATGCTCTCATGAAGAAATTACGATTATGGTTGAACATCTGTTCCCGTTTTTGTTCATGAAGCTCGTTGATCACTTTTTCGCCAACGGAAAATATGTGAGAGGGTTTGGTGGCCGCTCTTACATCAAATGACACAAAATGTTCGCTGTGAGTATAGATTCCGAGTTTACTGAGACTTTCACAGATCTTTGCCTTTTTCTTCGAACTTCCTCGATCATCTTCGGAACCAGAGTGTGCAGAGTCTGCATCTTTCCTTGAGATCACCGGTACTAATGTGTTGGATGATGCCTTCTTTTCTAAAGTATCTGTGCTTGCGGGCGATAGTCCATTCGTAAGCTGACCGTTCGTAGTCTCGTTCAGGGCGTCTGGTGCCTCTTTTAATTCCGGCGCTTTCTTGACCTTGACCAAAATTTTATTGAGAAGTTCATCGAGTCTTGGAACCCTCTCCTCTGGATTGCATGTTTCGAATGGAGAATCAAGTAAGAGACCTTCCCACTCCTCCTTCATAATATCAACCATGACCTCCTGTTGTTCATGATCGGCATGAACTTCCAGACTGACGATAATTGGGAGTGGACTTGTAGTAAAAGCATTTTCTCGAATCGTTTTGCAGACGGCTCGAAATCCAACTGGTGCTGTCAAGGTCCAACCATGTAGAACTAAGGGCTCTCCAAGCATCGATGATCGTATCGAGGCCGGTCGTCCACCATTCTCATCCTCGTCCAAAACCTTAAGTTTATCTCCCGAACTTGTCTTTGTAATCTTCTGTTTGGCACTCTCTAACTTTTCTTTGGCGCTCTCCATCTTTTCTTCCACTGTCAATATCGCTGCTGCAGCTCTGCTAGAAAGTGTACTTCCCGTTCCTGAAGGTTGTCGTTTATGATCGGTTTTATTCGAGAAGATGGATTTGTCGTCCTTGTCTGGCAGTTCCCCATTGTGTACATCAATTTCAATACATCGACAATTTTGTGTGAGAGCCTAAGGGAAAGTGACAGTTAGTAAGGAAGCTGAATCCAATCATCATCGATCGACTGACTGTTTTATATGCTTCAGTAGAACTCCGCGACAATAACTGATTTCCTTCAAGATATGTATTGTGACTACTACTGATATAATAGTTGGTGATTGGTTTTGACTGATCTAACTCCGGTATGCGCTTCAACACCTCTAGTGAATGACTGTAGTATAGTGACTCGAGAAATTCCTCGACTTTGTATGTATCTTTATTGAGTTTGACCGTATGACCTTGAACATCTGCCAACCATTTCTCGAAGCTTTCCCTTCCTAGACATGATTCGGACCCTCGTAATTCGTCGTAAAGTTTTCGTAGATATTCTTGAATCTCATGTGAGAGATAAGCTTGACGCGGAGGATCTCCTGCGGTAGTGTTATTGAGAGGTTGAAGATGTACTCCATGACCAGGCGTAACCATTGTCGACATAGCTACGAGTTTATGAAGGGAGAAGTGTTTTCCGGAGGGAGTGAGGAGAGGCATGGTAGTTATTCTAGAGTGAAGACCAATGGTAATATTAGCAACTGAGTCATGATGTAACAAATTGGAAGGGAACCACAAATGAATGCAAAGCCACTGGGTCTATCATCCAAGTTTCTTGGAGCATCGTGGGTTCAACACATGTCGCGAGAACTACGGATACCGATGATTTCTTGACGTGTTTCAATGGTATTAAGTGTAGCCCTGCTTGGTGGGGTGGGAAGGTGGAAAGGATAATCAAAGTAGATATAAAAAACTTCACATACCTCCGAAACTTCTTTCTGAAAAAAGAAGGCATCTCTCCTTTACCATCAATCTATGAAAAGGAGGATTGTGATGCTACATGAGTAGGTATATGATGATGAGTGAGTGAGTGTACTAGGTATGCATGTGTGTATGTGTGTCTCTGTGTATTTCTGTCTGTCTGTCTGTCTGTCTGTATGTATGTATGTATGTATGTATGATGAAGAAATGATTACTTTCTTTTTCAGAGCCCTGACATATGAAATCAGGGAAAGTTAATTGAAATTGTTGATTCATCGGGATTCATCAAGGGAAGGGGGCTATAAAACGAGGCTCTCTTTCAGCTAATACTGGGTACAAATGTCCTACCTAGTAGCGATTAGCTACGGACTTACTGGCTGGTATGAATTTGTTGCTATTCTTATAGTGCTGACAAGGCTAGTGGGTATTGGTTGATCTGATGGGTTAACACAAGACGGAAGAGGATGGAGGTATAGCTTGAAGGTTGAATCTTGAACCTCGAACCTCGAACCTCGAACCTCGAATCATCCAGAATATTGAACATGCACAAGACAAGAGAGGAGGGAAACGAGAGAGATGTGGGCAAGGAGTGAATTTTGATTCATATTTATGTAATGTGTATGGATGGATGGATTGTGTGGATGTGTGGATGTGTGGATGAATGGATGAATGAAAGAATGAACAGATACGTACGAGTATCTTACCTATTTTTAAGTTGATAAACTTATTTAAAGCTTTTTGTTTCTTTATTAGCTATCTAGGACTTGTTAGTACCTAGTACCTCCCTAGTACGTACTCATCCACTTAACCAATCCCGGCCCGTACCTTTTTCTTTCTTTCTTTGATTGGTATTTGCTTGGCTTATGTGACCTTTGGATACCGGTATACTACTAGACTAGCTAGCTAGATACCTCGGGGGCCTGGGTACATCACCAGTGATAGCCAGATGACATTGTTGAAACCCTTAATAAAGCTAATAAAGCGCTGAACAATGAACGATGAACGATGAACGATGAAACCTTCCCAAGCCAAGTACGTTGAATGGTTCATGGTACATACTACAGTACGGACATCAAGCTTTTTCTTTTCAGGGTGGATTTTTATGGAGTCTCTAGTAATTAAGGGTAGTAGGTACCTGGGTATTATCAAGCATATCATCTGCCAATACCTACTATACCTACCTCCGTAGTAATAGGCTAGTATTCTTCACTTCGCCTCAAGCCTCAAACCTCTACCTCTACCTCAACCTTCAAACAATTTAACAACACCATACATACTACACCATACTACACCACCACACAAATTACATCGCCACAATACATCCGCATACACAACAAACCAAGCCCCTTCATCCGCAAAATCATGACTTCACAATCAATCCTTCAACCCGATCAAAAAGTTCGTTCCTGGGGCTTCGCAACCGTATACACGTGGTCCGATGTCCCGTAAGTGATGAACCCATTCGTTCCACCTACCTACTGTACATCATACCTACACAGCCTCAACTCCACTCCACTACACTACACTCCATCCACCCATCTCTCCATCTCCACAACAAGGCTGAGTTAACTTTTCATCTCACATTCTTCAATCCCAGAAACACCCACTACCCGCCCCATTCTCACAATACCCTTACCACCCATCTTGTTACTGCAGGGGAATTGACCATCACCTATCCGCGAGAGAAGGATGCGCGAAAAGTTACCTACGGGGTGGGGGAGAGAGTTGATGTGGAGAAGGGAAGGGTTCATGAGGTGTGGATGGGAAAGGAGGGGTGTACGTATGTTATTGGAGAGTAAATGATGAATGGATGAATGAATGAATGAATAAATGGATAGTTAACAATATGGAGAAAAAATGATGATTAGAAAACAACGACTATAACAATACTGATAACGGTAATAATACAATCATGGCATTGAAGATGAACAAAGCATACAGTATACGAAACCCACCACAATAGGCGCGAACAACATCTCACCTAACAAATCGATTCCTATCATCCCATCAACACCAAACACGACTCCACAAATTGAAAATGTATCCAGTATCTCACAACATGAACGTCTTATTAGAGAAAATATCCACTCCATTAATTATATACCATTCATTGCTCGTCCACCATGTCGCAAGCTGCGACTATTATCCTATCTACTCAAGCGCCCACCTGTTCACTGCACATGACAGCGAAACAATAGGTGCACAGAAAGGCGGTTGATGTAACAAGAAGTCGTAATGCTTGCTATTACTCTACCTATACATCTAATTCTTCTTTACAGACATTTTTCTCTTCCATCCAAGCCAATACCTCGAGATCTATCATTCTTTCGATTCTATTTCCAGAATGACATGGCAAAATTAGAGTCACCATGAATCATCGCGAGGACATTGCGGTTCCTATTAGACCTGCATATTTCAACTGACCAGAACAACAGGTTCTAAATCTTCAAATTCAAGAAAGATATACACCTCCTCACTACAAGATTTACTATTGTATTACGATCATCACATAATTCCTCCTCCATGATCATCCTCATTGTCATGACACCCCAAAGATATCACCCCCTCTAATCCCACCACCTTTCATCCAACCCCTCCAAAAACTTAATATCAACATTAACAAAACTCCTCCACAAATCCACCTCTTGTCTCCACGGTCTCATTTGAACCGCAAACGTCACTCCCGCCACATACTTCGCCAAATCCTCTTCATCCTTCCCCATAACCAGATACTTATCCCTCTTCGCCACTACCTTATCTCCAAACTGTTTCTTGAATGGTTCAATTCGATTTTTACAATTCACATGCATACTGAATTCCGAGTTGGGTAGATCCTTCGGAACAAACAACCAAGTAAACATACGACCTGTAAGATCGTAAAAGGTAAAATTATCACGTTTATCGTGGCCAACCGTCAAAGGATAGAAGTAGGGGGCACTCCACAAGCGAAGTATAGCGAATTTGGCATTAGGGTTGGAAGTCGAGAATTTCTGGGCAGTATTAAGGAGGGGTGGAATCTTGAAGGGATCTTCCATCCAGCTTGGCATTTCGAGATCGGGAATAACCGTACGCCAATCGACAAAAAGATCGGGTTTGGAAGGACGATGCGGCTCTGTACCTTGGAATGCTTGACAGCTGGCTGCTGATGATGCATGACTGCGAACAATCCCAGACTTGTATACTATAAGAAACGTGTTAGTTGATAGTTTGACAACATGCACTACCATGGGGCAACTTACGTTTTGCGATGATAGGTCGCATTGTCATGTCCCATTCGAGAGGAAATTCCGAATAATCATCTGTGGACCGCATTTTCTTTCGGAATTCATCGAGATCGGCATAAAATTCTTTGGGTTGGCGGATCGTAGATTTATCTGTTCTGATATCTGGATAATTCCGGGCTCGTTCCTCCTGCTTGAAAATCAAAGATTCTTTGAATCCCTTTCCCACTTCCGTGTCAAAGAATTCCGAATTGAAGAATGGATATATCTTACCCGTAGCTTTCTCTGCATCTTTAACATCATCGGCTGTCACTTTGAGCCAACTCATTACCCGAAAATTGAGTATTGTTGAAGATGCTTTGAAGAAAGGTCTACGAGAATGGTTATATCTCCAGGATCTGTGGGTCAATTTCTTCATTTCTAGATACCGCTCTTGTCCATTGGGAGTCATGTCTGCTTGGTGCCAAGCTTTTTTGAAATCTATTTAACAAGTTAGTCTTGATTACAAATGTGAGGAGGGGATGTTATCATACTTCTAGATGATGTCTTTTCGATAAATTTCATAAATTCTTCTTGTAGATCATCGTTGGGATAGTCGTCTTTGTATGTCTTCTCCATGGCAAGTCTGTGTACGGTAGGCCGGAGATCTTTAGGGAATTCCTTTGGAAAGACGTCAAATCCGTCATCGTCCTCCTCATCATCGCTGTCGTCCCCGAATAGGCTTTCGTGATGCCCTTGACATCCACCTTCAGAGTTTTTAGTGATGCCCGATTCGTCGTCTTCGGAATCTTCCGACTCCCAGTTCCAGGTTCCATCTACGAATCTTTTCATTGAAAAATCTTCTTCCTCAAACGCTCTCAATGAGTCTTTTTTGCCAACGGCCGTTTGGGCAATAGATTCCTCTTCTGCTCGTTCTTCAGGAAACAAGACCTCATCTTCTAGAGCATCTGCTTCATTGTAAAAGAGCTTACTTGGCCATGAGTCTGTTGGTTCAGTTGGTATACGATCTGGTCCATCAATGTCACCATAATAGAATTTTGATCTGTCATCCTGAAGGTAATCCCATTGGTTTACGAATTGTTGGGGATCACCTGGTCTGACATCCCTATAATGGCTATCTTCGTCTCGATAGAGCGTTTGCAGAATGGAAGCAGCTGGCTTGTACATGTCTTTACCCGTGGTTGCCCGGATGGCTTTGATAAGCATCTAAGCTTTGTTAGCAGAACTTTGAGAAGGCCGCTGAATGACGCGACTGACCTGTTGAACAGTATTATACAATGGAGCTAAACTTTCTCCAGGCTCGAGATCCCAAACATAAACATCGTAATAGTCGTTGAAAGAAAAGTTCCATTCGCGATGACGATCCATTTCCTCGAAGAATTCAGGTCCAATTCTTTTCAGGACGTTCCATACATTCTTGACTGCTCGTCCACGACCGCTCTTTTCTCGCCATAGCCATCGCTCTTCTTCGGGTGGCTTTACTAACAACTTACCACTTTCAGCATCTCTCACAAGCAGAACTAAACGATGACTTTGCATTGACAGATATTGAATAAAACGGCGACTTGATGGATCATTTCGTTTGATATGGGCACAAATTACGTTCCTTGCTTGGAATATAGCATGTTGACGACGGGTTTGTTTGCTACGTCCTCCCTGTGAGAAACTGACACTAAGCTCTTTGGCATCTGGATCTGAAATTTCGTAGTACATGATGAAGCCCTAGTTATCGCGTTGTTAATTGAGCGTTCATAGGTAAAATTAACGAAACTCACCAGTTGTAAAGCTTGCTGCTTTAATCTATTTCCAACCCACGAAGTCCAGTTTGAAGCAGGAAAGTAACCCCAGTAAGCCAAAATGTTCAACTCAAAGAACTCTTCCCAATTTCGACATAACTCAATTGCAGTATTGAGATTACTATCCCTTGCGATGATGGAGAAATGTAACCAACCTCCACGAGTCATGGCTTTATCACTAGGATAATTCCAAATCATTCTGCCACAAATCTTCACGCGGATCTTCTTGCGCACTTGCTGAAAATTTGTGGAATCGCCGAAATCAATCGCACCACCCTCCATATCCCCCATGATGTTTTGCATAGATGGAGCCATTCCAAGCATGTTTTGAGCCGCCTCCTCTCTCGAGAGTTCCCGCTTTGAACGCCATGTTCCAGGCAATTCACCACGTTTTTTCCGGCTCAGCCTCATCTTGACATCATAAGGATCAACATCTCTGAGACCAGAGCTATTATGATCATCAAGGTTCTCACTTTGAGTCTCTGCTTCGGGGTACTCCTCTTTTTCTTCGTCTGATCGAAAGAAATCTGCACATGCATCCCGAATTTCTTGAAGGCTAGGTTTCTCCATCTTGAGACAAACGTCTCTTAGGGCGGTGCCAGTCACTTCTTTCGTCTTGAAAAAAAGCTTCTATACTATCAGCGCGAAGAGCTGCCGGAAGTAAAGCGGCGTGTGCAAGTAACAATCTACAAAACAATAAGTGCTTAATCTCGGACACCTCGTCAAGCAGTCGTGTGATTTCGAATTCTGTAAACGTTCGAGTTGTTGTTTGGATGTGAGGATTTTCCACAGTTCCAGCCACCATGGGCCCCCGAACATCATCAAGGTCAATTTTTATTCCATGAGCCAACCTGTGATGCATGTCCTCTCGAGTTTCGATCAGAGATTTATCCGGTAGCTCTTGTGGCTCGGGTGTTGATTTACTTGTCGTTGTGGAAAGGGAAGGCGTAGTTGCCGTAGCTGCTCCGTTCTTCTTCTTTTTCTTCTTCTTCTTCGACTTTTGGGTAACACCAGCGGACTCGATTTGGGCTACAAGGTCGTCAAGTTCGTCAGTACTGTTCGCCTTGGGATGTGGTTCTTGAGATGCTACATCATTTTCGATCAACATGTTCTTGTCAATTTCCGTTGGTGAAGGTTCGCCCAGCTTTGGATCTTCTTCCGAGCATATCCATAAGAAATGCCGCATGAGGTCTTCAGGAATGGCCAGTTAGCATCTGTGAGATGTGAAATGTGAAGCATGGACTTGCAGCTCTACCCATGGAAGATCGTGATGTGAATATCAACATACCTATAAAGTTTCCTCGTCCATCCTCCAACTCATCCTCAATAGGATCCCAATCCATATCATCATCTGTAACCTCATTCTCTTCTATCTCCTTCATCTTCTCCTTGTATATTCTCTCCAGGAAAGTATCTTGCTTCTTCTTCTCTTCCCTTCTCATTTTCTCCTTCATTCTTTGTTTTGCTTGCTTCCAATTCCTCTGCCATAGCTGTGCCTCTTGCTGTATTCTCTTTTGTTCTTTTTCGTGATGTGCTTCTTCGTCATCCTGGCATTCTCGTACCCATTTGAACCATTGTTGATTTTGATATAAAATCTGGCGAAATAGAATCAGCAAAAAGTCCGCAAAGCTTTCCGGATATTGACATACCTCTGTAGTTCTCCTCTCGAGTTTTTCTAATACGTAGGTAACATGTATTTTCTGATTCTTAAGCTGGTCCAAGAATTTCGCATGCCCATAATCCATGTTTTGACTGAAAAATCGACTATGGTGCAGCTTTCTCGCTCTTATCACTCTTTCCAGTAGCTGATACTTGGTCCATAACCAATCATGTAATTCCTTACATTCTGCTTCCGTTATAACATCCTTAAAAGTCTCATTTCCAAGGGCAATTTTCGCATTTGCAAGGTATGGTGGTGGGGTTTTGTCTAGTCGTTTCAGTCGAGCTGTACGAAGTTTGTATCCACGATATAGACCTGAAGGTCATTGTTAATTGTCTTGAATTCCATCAGAGATTTTTGACAACATTCTAAGTTTATTGCAAATATCCAATACTTTCAGATATTGAGATCTCGGCTCTATCCGGGGTGTTTCTGGGGATATACCTTGGCATTGTTTAGAGTGGAAGCTACAAAACAATCCATTGACAGATGTAGCATTTTCCAAGCATCGTTTCTCATCGGAGACATTCAGTGCATTGCACTGCTGTGAAGAGTTGGTTTCCATTGCCGTACCTCAAAAAATTGTAGAGGTTTGGAGCTTTCTCCACCTCATGTACGACAACGACATTTCCAAAAGAAAAAGCTATGCCGGTACCAGACTACAGCATGTTAAAACGAGTGGGGAAGAAGGTTCTTTGATTGGTCTTCATGGGGAGAGACGCGTTCGCGTCCAAACCATGGAATTATTATGTCATTTGGATCTAAAATCAACAACAATGTTTGGATGAGCAGATCACGAGTGAATGCAAAGATCCTCGTCGATATTTACCATCACTCTTTGCTCGGTTGTAGACCTTCGACAGATGTTAGAAAAGATACTGTGATGTGACCACGGCACGATTTCTTATCGATAATGAGCTCAGTTATCCACACACATCCTACAGAATAACCTACAGTCCTCAGGCTACACAATGTATGTCATTATATATTGAAAAACGACGCGCCAGTCTCACCCACACAGCCCGTTTGGCTGAGCGGTGAAGCGCATCACTAGTGCTTGATGACAAACCCCGTAGACAAAGAAGAGAGAGAGAGTTGGGAGAAGATCGATAATATGTCAACTTGGAGAAGCAAATGTTTTGCAATTCAATAATGAACAGTATTGAGGTAAGACTGATTTATCAAATTCATAGATTACCTAATTTACTTGTCCGAATTGGACTAACATTTTGATCTTCACAAAGGATAAAGACGATCGGATTACGAGGTTACTTTTCGGTAAGCATTCCAAAATCGATTATGATTTCTCCCATCAATTTATCCCCTCCCAGGAATTTACGGGCATTCAATAGCATGAAACCTTTTGCATTGATTTTTTGTTGTCTTTTTCTTGTGGACGATCATCTGAAGGAAGACATGAGAAGAAGAACTCCATAGGTTTGCCTCGTCCGAAGCATAAGGAGAGTTAGGAGAGTGAGCAGTCTCAGGAGCGGTCTTTTGAAAAGCATTTACGATAGGAGACCTTGGGAGGAGGTGGATTGTACGCTCCACTTTTCACTGAGAAATTCTTAGCACTCTTTTGATCAATTTTTGCTTGATCAGCAATACGAAAAATCTCCAAAATTGAAGAAATTCGCCCTTTTGACCTTTGAAACAGGGCTGTTCGTGTGTCAGCATAATACACCTGTTCCTTCCTCATATTCCTTTTTCCTCCTCATATTTAACATGGAATTCAAGAATATGCTACTACATGCCCTAAGTTGAACCCTTCATTTTCTAGCCACCTCTGTTTTAGGCCACCTATTTACACTACAAATCGCTTTTTGATTTATTAATATCTCTTTCAAAACAAAATATAACTTATTAAAAATCTATATAATATAGTTTATCAGTGGGTCGGCTATATCAATGAATCGGTTATTTTTACCTCGAATTATTATTCTATATTCAATATATGTTTTTTTTATAATTAATTATAAAAATTCATTCTAAAGAAATATATATAATCTTAATTATTCAAGCTATTAAATTAAATAAAAAATTATCAATTCAAAAAACAACTTAATTTTATTATATATCTTGAATTATATTAAATAATAAAATTCAAGATAAACCTAATATAGTTAAGAGTTGATTAAAAAGTTATAATTTAATTGAATTAAAAGAGAAAGTATTTATTCAATATATTCTTGATATAGATTTGAAAGATTTTCTATTTAAATTTAAGAATATAAAAGATATAGTAAATTATATTCTTGAATTGAAAGGTATAAAATATATTAAGAAGTTTTGAATATATCGATTTATTGTTGGGCAGACTTGATAAGGCGTGTATATATAATATGTATGAGTAAAAGGATTGTTTATTTCTATTTATTCTTTTTGTATGAAAAAGGAATTGTTATATCTATATAACGTAGTTTATTAGTGGGTCGGTTATATTAGTGGATCGACTACTTTTACCTTGAATTATTATTCTATATTCAATATACGTTTTCTTTATAATTAATTATGAAAATTCATTCTAAAGAAGCACATATAATCTTAATTATTCAAGCTATTAAATCAAATAAAAAATTATCAATTCGAAAAGTAGCTCAACTTTATTATATACCTCGAACTACATTAAGTAATAAAATTCAAAGTAAACCTAATATAACTAAAAGTTAATTAAAAAGTTATAATTTGATTGAATTAAAAGAGGAAGTATTTATTCAATATATTCTTAATATAAATTTAAAAGGTTTTCTATCTAAATTCAAGAATGTAGAAGATATAGTGAATTATATTCTCGAATCGAAAAATATAAAATATATTGGGAAGCTCTAAGCATATTGATTTGTAAAGTATTGAATCGAATTAAAGATATGTTTTAGTTGTATTTATGACTTTCAAAAAGCTTTTTATGAGGATTCTAAACTTATTGAAGAATAGTTTTAATTAATTGTGAATATACAAGTGAAATATGGTATTTTAAATAAAGATTTCTATAATTTCGATGAAATAGACTTTATAATGGAAATTATATATGTAATAATGGTTGTTATTAGTATTAAAAGATATAATAGAAGTAAATCTATATAATTAGACAATCGAGAATAAGCTATAGTAATAATATATAAAAATGAAGAGGACGAAACTATTCTCTTATTTCTAATAATCTAGGGATAGGTCTATCTCTCCAATTAATATATCAAAATTAATCTTCCTATAGAATAAGCTATTAAATCTATATCTAATAAATGAACAAATAATAAGACAGGTTTAAAATAATTGAAATACTTTGATAAGTATACTAAGAATCGAAGAAAAGATAAATATCAAATATTAATACTGAATAGACATGAAAATTACGAATTAATAGCTTTTCAAATATATTATAAAGAGAATAATATTTTATATTTACATTTATTATTGTATTTAAGTTATTTAACTTAATCACTCGATATTAGCTGTTTTAGTAATCTAAAACATTCATATGATAATCAAATTGATAGATTTATTAAGGTATATATTAATTATATTTCAAAGATTAAATTCTTTATAGCTTTTAAAACTATATATAAAAAATCAATTATTTCTCAGAATATAAAATCAGAATTCTAAGGAATATATTTAATCCTATTCAATCCTAAAATTGTATTTTCGAAATTAAATATTCAAATTTATATATCTATTCTTTCTATAACATTTTGCTATAAAAAAATTGTGAGAGTAAGGTACAATTTATTTTTAAAATTTATAACTATAAAATCGAGAGTAAAATATTTATGGAGTGTATTTATATATTAGTTATATATATATAATTATGTATATATATTTATATATATATAAATAATTATAGTCATAATTGGGCTCAATTTGTAATATTATTTTCCTTTTCAAAAAAGCTTATTTTTAAGCTTTATAATTGTTTATTTAGTTTATATATTAATAATTATAATAAAATATTATTATTTATATAACGTGGTTTAACACCGAGTACATTATATCACCGAATGTATTACTTTTACCTCAATTTACATTTTCAACCTTATATTATTCAACAATAATTGAATCAATTGATTAAAACTATTAAGAATCTAATAATCTAGAATCTATTATATTATTTTGATAAGTTTTTATATTATAATCTGTCTTTTTATATTTATTATAACATCAATTAGAAAATACTTCCTTATTAAATTTCCCCTCTTTTTAACACTTATCATATTGAATCTAAATATCAACCTTTTATTAAGATAATATATCAAGAATCTTTTATTTAATGAATACTCCTCCTTAATATAATTAAGTTTTTTTTATATATTAATATTTACTTAATACTTTATTTACTATTTGAAGTATACAAATCTCTATATTTAAAAGTATATTTTTATAAACTAATCTCTTTATACTTTTAGCTAAAATTAGTATAATCTTGAATATAAATATAAGAAAACTTGCTTAATAATAAGTTATTCAAGATTTAATCAATATTAATTAAGAAAAAGTTTTAGTTGGGTTATAAGGAGTTTGAAAGATCTATTAATCTAGATTGAAAAAGGGGGGAGTAGGTGTATGAATTTGAATATTTAATTTCGAGAATATAGTTTTAGGATTAAATAGAATTAAATCTGTTCCTCAAAATTTTAATTTCATATTCTAAAAAGTAATTAATTCCTTATATATAGTTTTAAAAACTATAAAGAATTTAATCTTTAAAATATAATTAATATATACCTTAATAAATTTATCAATTTGATTATTATATAAACATTTTAGATTGTTAAAACAACTAATATCAAGTAATTAAATTAAATAATTTGAATACAATAATAAATATAAACATATAATATTATTCTTTTTATAGTATATTTGAAAAGCTATTGATTTGTGGTTTTCATATCTATCTAATATTAACATTCGATATTTGCTCTTTCTTCAATTCTTAATATATTTATCGAAATATTTCAATTATTTTAAATCTATTTCATTATTTGTTCACTTATTAAATATAAATTTAATAATCTATTCTATAGAAAGATTTATTTCGATATATTAATTAGAGAAATAAACTTATTCTTAAACTATTAAAAATAGGGAAATAGTTTTACCCTCTTTATTTCCGTATATTATTACTATAGCTTATTTTCGATTATTTAATTATACTACCTTACTTCTACTATTTTATTTAACATTAATTACTATCATTACTATATATATAATTCTCATTATAAAACCTGTTTCATTAAAATTGTAAAAATCTTTATCTAAAATACTATATTTCGCTTATATATTTGTAATTAATCGAAATTATTTTTTAAGAAATTTAGAATCCTTATAAAAAGTTTTTTGAAAGTTATAAATATAATTAAAACATATTTTTAATTCGATTTAATACTTTACAAATCAATACGCCTAAAGCTTTTTAATATATTTCATACCCCTCGATTTGAGAATATTATTTATTATATTTTCTATATTTTTTAATTTAAATAGAAATCCTTTTAAATCTATATTAAGTATATATTAAACAATCATCTCTTTTTTTAATTTTATAATCTTATAACTATTCACTCGAATTTCTATATGGAAGAACAAGCCTTTTATTTTGTAAAGAAATATCGTATATATTATATTATATAGTTTAACAGCTTTACAAATGCTGAGCTTTTTATCTTTTTGAATAGTTTCAATAGTTAAGAATATTTGAGCTTCTTTTCTCATTGATTATATAATAAATGATTGATAAATCGCGTGTTGAAATTGAAGAGTGTAAATTGAGATAAAAGTAGTGTATTCGGTGATATGGTGCACTCGGTGTTAAACCATGTTAATTGAATAATATAGTAAAGTAGTTTGAATATAAACTTTACTTTTCCATAATAAAAAGGTGTATAAAAAATAAAATATATTGTTTTATAGTTTTAATAATGATTTGAATTTTTAGAGTATAAATCTTTTTAATTTTCTTATTTCTTTTCAACTCTTTTTTAATTATTTTATCTTTTCTTATTTTTTATTATTAGTATTACGATATAAGGGATAGATATTAGGTAAAATATATAATATTCTATAAAAAGTAAAGAAGGAGGTGGAAAAATGTTGATTATATAAAGGATGAATACCTTAAGTATCTATATGTTACGGGAGCTGCCTCTAGGGTCACGTGGAAGTGTCTAGAGATCTCTCGAGGTGGTTTAGACTAGACTTCAAGTAGGAATTCAATAAGGTTGGTAACTGGTTGCAATTCTCGTAACTATAGTAATGAAACTAATGATTGTTCTTGAGCACGAAGCTCTACATTGTAATGAAACCCATTCCCTTATATAGACCTTCTTGCTCAGTGTGATCAGTACGGCTCAGTACTGGTTTGTTTGTACTTTCATGGCTCAGTGTCTATCCCGCTGAGGCAGACTGAGCCAACCACGTGACTTAGTGCCCCAGTCCCGTGCCTATGTTGCGTCGTTCGTAACACTATATAATTATGTATTGAATTTATAATAGTACCCCCCTTAAGAACTTGTTTGTTCTAAGTAAACTAAATCTATTGTATAGTTTATTATTATATATAAATTAAATAAACAATTGAATTCATTGAATTCATAACTTAAATACTTTATATTAATTTGACTTTTCTTTT